TTTCGGACTTTACTTGAACTGGAGGCAGCCAACATTTCAAATGATTTTTTAAAAAATATAAAATAATCTACGTTTACCGAAATTGAGATTAAACGATTTTAAAAAACAAAGTTTTGCAAAATTTGAAAATATCGCGGGTATGTTGCGAGGAAGAAGAACGGACTTTGTTTTAGCTATACGCAGAGCGAGGCGAAGTGACCAACTGAGTGAGTTGGAGGCAACTAAGAGAGAGACGTCCGACTCCGCCTCTTTTGTGCTCAGTCGAGGATCTTTCTGAATATTCTAGCAAAATGAGCACGTGAGGGTTTTGTGATTCCCGGGTGGAGCAGGTGAGCGTTGGAATGAAGCAAAATTTGTGCAATTCGCTACAATTATATGGAGAACCAAAATCATATATGAACAATATGTTTGGAATTTTACACCAGTACAATACAGTCGATGTTTGAATTTATTAAAAATGAATCCCTTTTACTCATTGGACTATCTAAGTAAACTTAATTTCCCAGCATAAATTGATTGTATTGAATTCATTGTATGGTATTTCACATAGTTCTGATAAAATATTGAAATATTACAAAAACTCAAAATCTAGAAGAGATAAGCAAATTCTAACTACATTTTTGAAATCAACACCAAATTCCCCAAATCACTTGAGTTTTCTCCAGTAGTAAATTTTTTGTTGTCTAGTATTATTACTAAGATTTGAGAAAGAAATTAATTGACTTGTATACATATTTACATATAAAACTAATTTCTTCTCTGTTTGTGTGTTGTGTTTCGAGTAAAGAAACTCGAGAACTATCGTTTCCCTTCGTTTACAGAATTATAACTTAAATCCGGTAAGTTTACAGAATTATAACGCTTAAATACGGAATTCAGTTCCCCGCGGTGGTTTGGTTTGTTTTGAATTTCGCGCAAAGTTACACGAGGGCTATTTGCGCTAGCCGTCCTTAATTTAGCAGTGTAAGACTAGAGGGAAGGCAAGCTAGTCATCACCACCCACCGCCAACTCTTGGGCTACTCTTTTACCAACGAATAGTGGGATTGACCGTCACATTATAACGCCTCCACGGCTGAAAGGGCGAGCATGTTTGGTGTGATGAGGATTCGAACCCGCGATCCTCATATTGCGAGTCGAGCGCCCTAACCACCTGGCCATGCCGGGCCTCCCCGCGGTGGACGCAACAGATTGTCTAATTTAGCCTTTTCTAAAACAAACAAACAAATTAAGGGCTATCTGTTTTAACCGTCCTTAATTTAGACTGGAGAAAAAACAACAATACCCACTGTCAACCCTTGGGCATAATCGTCCTTGATTTAGAGGTAATAGCCAGGAAGAAAGCAACAATACCCACTGTCAACCCTTGGGCATAACTGTTCTTAATTTAGATGTGATAGCCAGGAGGAAAGTAACAATACCAACTGTCAACCCTTGGGCATAATCGTCCTTGATTTAGAAGTGATAGCCAGGATGAAAAATAACAATACCCACTGTCAACCCTTGGGCATAATCGTCCTTGATTTAGAAGTGATAGACTGGAGGAAAGCAACAAAACCCACTGTCAACCCTTGGGCATAACCGTCCTTAGTTTAGAAGTGATAGACTGGAGGAAAAACAACAATACCAACTGTCAACCCTTGGGCATAACCGTTCTTAATTTAGAAGTGATAACCTGAAGAAAAAATAACAATACCCACTGTCAACCCTTGGGCATAATCGTCCTTAGTTTAGAAGTGATAAACTTTAGGAAAAACAACTAGTCAACCCTTGGGCACCTAGTCGAATAGTGCAATTGAATCACGTTATAATACCCCCACGGCTGTAAGGGCGAACATATTGAGTGATGTAATTCGAACCCGCGACCGGCAGACTGCGAGTCGAGTACCCTAACTACCAAACCATGCCAGGCCAAAACTATATAACTATTGTCGGTTCAGTATAAAGCTACAGAATAGACTAACAACATTCTGTCCACCGCGGTGTATCGAGCCCCGGATTTAGCGTTGTAAGTCCGTGACGTTCAGCTGACCCACCGGGGGCTAATTCCTTGTTTTCTGCAACAACAACAACAAAACAAAAGGAAGTGAGAAAACAACAGTATACTAATTATATCTAATGTTCCATGATTTCAGATTACTGTACGGATATATGCCAGCATCTCCTCGGCACAATATGTTACATACACTGCAAATCGAAAGTTCTCTACACAGAAGAGGTTTAGGATGCCAATTTATCTACATACAAGAGATCCAAGCGTATTTAAAGCAACTTTTGGGCTATTCTGTATGCTTAAAGATGCGTTTATATATATATATATATAAATTTATTTTAGGTATTTACTTTGTTTTGGATAAATGACCACTAACTCCAAAAAAATATTTCAATCCGCTCAGTGTTTTCTTTATCCAACCTCTGTTGGTAGACTCACTGTTACAGTATTTTCCTGCATAAGGTGTAAAAACAAAACCTTTACACAATGAAACTGTCAAGCATGCCCAGATGTTTCAGTTTATACTTACAAACCTTGCTTGGGTATTCTATCACCTCAAACTTACTGTTACAGTATTTTCCTGCATAGGGTGTAAAAACAAAACCTTTACACAATGAAACTGTCAAGCATGCCCAGATGTTTCAGTTTATACTTACAAACCTTGCTTGGGTATTCTATCACCTCATAAGCCGAGAGTTGAAGACATAGCGATGACAAGCCTTGACATTGATGTTTTTCTACTGTAGTTTTGATAACAATCCTAAGTGTTAAGCTGATTAAAGAATCACAGATACTCAGGCAGAGAGAGTCAGAGGAATAGCAAGAAAACAGAGGATTAGTAGATCAAGAAATGGGATAGAAGCCAGTAAAATTGACAGATACACTTTGTTAAACTAAATGATAAGAGTATGAAATGTACATAATTTATTGAACTCAAAAATTTAGATAACACCAATTAAAAATAAAACCAGTGTCTTGTTCTAAATTAATTAAGTAGAATAAAATTGAGTTGAACTGAAAATAATAAACAGCTAAAACTCGAGCATCTAATCTGACATAAAAATTGTATAGTTTGTCTTTAACTTCTTTGTAACTGAAACCATTCTAAAAATAACAGTTTTGCTAGAATAAGAGTTACATGATCGTTTTCTGGGACACCTGTAACCAGAATAATAAAAATATTATAAAAACTGGTATGACTATAGATCAAGACTAAGATGTATATTTTGAACACATGCGTTATTAAATCTACCATTTACTTAACAGTTTATATAAGAATGTACAAGAGACCAGTGTCGTTATTACAGTTGGAATACACATTACTTTCCTGGTTAAGAGTAACACCATAATAAGCTGAATTGAAGAAGATTGATCATTACTATGTAGTCCCCTCGGAAAAGAATGTACAAGAGACCAGTGTCGTTATTACAGTTGGAATACACATTACTTTCCTGGTTAAGAGTAACACCATAATAAGCTGAATTGAAAAAGATTGATCATTACTATGTAGTCCCCTCGGAATATCCGTACCTCATTTTTCAAATGTTACAAAAAAGTCCAGTTGGTGTTCTGTAAGAATCTTAGAATAACTAATTGCAAATAATATAGCTTTATAGATAACGAACAATGGTGCCTATCTCTTATACATATATAAATATGATGTTTTATTATGTAATATTCTCAGACTGCCCTGATTTCCCTCGGAGTAGCCTGCGGAACCGCAAAAACAAGAGGGGTCGTCGAATACTATAATACAAATGAGTGTCGTATTTTCTCAACTTTTGATTGAGTCTTTATATAAAAGAAAGTGACTGGGCACAGGTTTACAAACAAGTTAAGACAACTTTAAACAAGTGCTCGGCTGGAGAGAAAGGGAACTTTATTCGTGCTCTCTCAACAGTGTAATTCTGGCTCACAAATGCTGGAGTTAAATCTCTCAGTGCAATCTCTAAGTCTCTGTAAAATATCTAACAAGAATCTTAATTAGGGTAGTGAAAAAGTAAGTACAGTTCGCAATATCTAGCAAAGACGTGTAAGAAAGAAAATATAATAATAATAATATATATATAGTCCTCTCTCTCTCTTTAGGCACACATGCCGTCCACGTGACTGAGAGCCATTCTCATGTCACAAGAGGTGTGCCACCACCTTGAGCTATCACATGGTTCGCCGCGAGAAGAGACCACTGTTTCTATTTAGTAAATATTTTTCATGCTACAGCGAGCTCCATTATGTGTGACTCACCGAGTTCTGAATAACCAAGAGGAAAGAGTCTTAGACGGATATTGTATATTACGTTTGTTTGTTTGTTGACAAATACAAAGCTACACAATGGACTTCTGTACTGTGTCCAACGCGGGTATCGAAACCCGGTTCTTAGCGTCAAAGTTCTATAGACTTACCGCTGAGTCAGAGGGGTGATTTGGAAATAGCTCACATTCAGAAAACAACAATATAATGTTTTAGTTTAGTATGACTGACGATCTTTGCTGTTTACCTTAATAAACATCTTTAGCTGTTTTGGGGATTGTTTAAAAGAACGAATGTCGTGGCGAAACTGGAGTTATATTTCATACATCCTATTGGATGAATTTATTGGAAAGTAATGTTCTAGAGAAACTATACTAACTGTCATTCTGACAGTCTGAACCATAAAAAGATGAAGGGAAGTGACCGTGCATATAGAATAAAACATATCAGAAACGCCATTTAAGCTTGTTATTTTCGCAAAAATGGCACCAAGCTAGTTTACGCGTGTAATTTCTCTTTCAATATAGTTTTAAATAAAACGACCTTTATTAATGTAAGAGAAAACTTAGTTTGCTGAATCAATAAAATCTGGTGCCACATTCAGTTTTAAAGACAAACAATCCGAAAGCCCGATTTTCCATGCGGCAACAGTTTTAACGTTAGAGATTGCATTCTCAGTCTCAGAAAGTACTGGAATGCGTATCTACGCGTTCCATAAGAGGTGGCGCCACTACATTATAAGCCAATCACCGACATTTCTAGCAGTCCGCCCGTGTCAGGCTTTGAGGTTGAAGTGTGTTTGCCCTCTGGCAACAAAGCTCAGATCGAAGAAGAAAGGAAGATTGAGCGTTCTGTGTTGAATAAACGTTACGAAGCCTAAACTCAAAGTGTATTAGTTGTTATCAAGCAAAATGAAAGTTAGTTTGACCATCTTGCTGGGTTTGACAGTGCTAGCTATAACTGCTGACGCTTCAAAGCTGGTGAGTAACATCTCATAATCTTTTTATCATTTCATTTTCAATGTTGAAAATGTATCGACTTGCTTAGTCGCTATCTAAAACTACAAATTAAGCAGAATTAGATAATAATATATATGCAAACAGAAAGTTACTGTTAAGTTATAATTATAGCTGATAGAAAATGACTCCACCTTTGACAAGGTCTAAGTAAGAAAAATCATGACATATTGTATATTATTATGAGTATCAAGTTAAATTTCATGAGGGTTTAGTCACGTAGATGTCTGACTAACGTCCCTTAAAAAGTTAACTACAAATTATAGTTATTTTACGAATATGTGGTTTTCTCAGAGAAATTTAACTAATGATAATGTCAGCTATTAACGGTGTGTTTATGAATGTTCTCCACTAATATTTGAAGATAACTTGAGTTTCCAAAAAGCGCTGACGTTTATATTCTAAGAGCGATTGGTAACATATGCTTTATAATTTATAACTAAGTATCTTTATCCTATTGCAACGGGTGGTATCGTCTTCCACCTTCCCCATTTTTCGATAGGATGTTAAAATTTAGGAAATAAAGTCCGACTGAAAATCCACTTTTTTTGTCAGATGAAATTTGTAAAATTTGTTTCTCAAATAAAAAAGAATTATATATATATCCATTTGAACAGACATCCATGTTTCAGATCACGAGTAAATTTTACTCAATAGATATCCATGTTTCAGATCACGAGTGAATTTTACTCAATAGATATCCATGTTTCAGATCACGAGTGAATTTTACACAACATTATCTGGCAACTATAACAACTTTTATATTAGAACAAACGAAAAAACATAAGTCTTACTGGTACTATCGAACGTATACATAGTCAACAATGCTACTCAAATTACCATGAAAAGAATTAACAGGCTAACAAATGTGTGTGGAACACTGAACGCATAGCTACAGTTACACTTTCACGGCTGTGTTCAAAACAAAGCGTAATGTAATGACAATAGTTGACACAAGAAATAATAAAAACTAAGCAGCTAGAAGGCCTACACTTATCAGGTGAATTCTTCCTGTGAGAAATATATCGATAAGGCGCGAGTTTAGATCTTCGAAGTAGTCGTACTCGGTATTTGTGAGAAACAAGTGTACATAATCAGAATGTATACTGCGAACGACTACGTTCTTAACATGTTACCTCTCCTTGTTTATTTTTCCAGAAAATAAATTCACTCGTTTGAGTTTTGCCTCACCGTTTCACCAATTCACTCAAATAATAAAATTGCAAATTCCTTTAAAGAAACCAAACATTTATGGCTATACACTTACAAAGACCTCTTACCTCAATTCCTGTCCCGCCTGGAGGCAAGTGTTGCCACATCTAGGTACCAACTAGCGCCAGTACGCATATTTGAAATTTGTAGCCTGTAACTCTACAGTAACCTAAATTCGTGTTGTTAACAGCTTTTTTTGTTTAGAAGTTGTAACTGGTCGGCGAACTTTGCATTGTATATTTTGACTGAATTTGAGGAACATGGCTCGTAGTTTCATATAATGTCGTTTCTTTTCAATAGAACAAGTGAGATTAAGGCTACTGTAATTAAGGCATTGCCTATTACACACGTAATTAAAATGGAAAATTATTCAATTTGTTATTTTGCAAGTTTTTGCATTTCTTACAACAGAATTAGCTTTTATTTTGTCCAATATTTCATCTAAAGGCTTCTTTAGGACTATAGAATTTACGTTTGTGGCGGGAATTATGGGGTTCTTTTTATCATGAACTGAAACTTCGTTTTGCGTTCTCATTCTAAAACAACTAAAAAAAACAGTTCTACATCTGTTTATAACAAGTAATTCCTGTTCGTAGCCTGATAAGACGAAAACGTGAACTTTGCATTACTGTCAAATGGTATTTGAATTTATTTGCCAATCAAAAATAAATAACCATAGAGAGTAACGAAATCATTTTATGTGGTTTTTTGTTGAACTGAAACGTATTGTCTAAAGGTCTTTCCATAGAACGCTAGCTTAATGAATGATCCTTTCAGTGTCTTTTATATCACTGATAGAGGAGAGGAGTACTCAATACTGGCTGATAATACACCTTTCCCCAAGTGAATGATTAATTATACTACAAGTTTATGTATAAATTAGCTGTTTGAAGGAGACCGAATTAGTTATGTTCAGATATGTGCATAGTTTTATAAAAATCACTACATTAAGCTTTCCGTTTCAAACATATATTTCTAAGTGACTCATTACAGGTTTTACTGGTTTCATATATAATGTTTTGTGTTCAGGGGCCATCTCTTTAGTTGCAAAGCGTTGTCATCAAGTGTTGACAGATGGAATTTTCAACTGTGTGTTTAAAATGTATTTTAATAAGAACCAGTCCAGATACTCAACACGTTTACTAGAAAAACAAATATCAGTCGTTATTTAATCAGAACACACTGGACTTTAATATTGTTTGAAAGTTGAGTTCCTGGCGGTAACAGTCAGGATTTTGTTGTGAGAATTGATTGTAATTTTTTAAAAAGCTCTGATCAACTTAGGGCTAACGATATTCTATTTGTAGAGATTGTAAGTTTAAAAATGCACACATTGTGATTTTATATAAGAACCTAATTTTGGAGTATTGTGTTCAGTTTAGTACCCTGTTTACAGGAAGATGTTGATTTGTTGCAGATAATGCAGAAAAAATATTGCAAAATTATGCCTGGTTTAGGAAAAACACGGGTAACATATGTGAAGAGAGGCTTAAGAAGAGTTGTTTTAGGCGAAGCATTGGGAAGTTAGAATTGATGAGATTAAGGTTTTCATTCTAATTGATATCTAATCAAAAACACCTTAGGTGTGAAAAAAAGGTGCGCCCAAAAAAGGATTGAGTATGTGACTTAAAGAAATGAATTTAAGTCGTACTTTCATTGATTTGAAAGTTTGAGGCACCTCGAAGAGCCAAAAGATCTTGTCTTTTTTAGTTTTATTGTTGCCAGGATTCAAAATAATATTCTTATATTGAATAGATATGTTTACAGCTAGATTCATTAAACAGGTGTGGTGGAAGTCTGTATACACATAACGTGTTGAACATGGTGATTTTTATGATGAACTGTGTAGATAAATTGCTGGCTTAGAAAAGCAGCAGGGGTTTAGACTTTTGTTCAATATTCAGCTTAATCATTATTGATAGCAGAGAAAGCCATAAAATGGAGCGAGGTTATATACGTACACTGTACTTTGTTGTTACAACGCTCGCTGTTACCCTCTTTAGGTGATCTAATACTTAATGATGTTGAAGATGTCTATAAAGTTGCTTCCTGTATTTCGTTGCTTGTAACTCTCGGACCGTAACATGTAGGCCTGCTGAATTAAGTGTGCATACAACTGAGATAATTGGAAAATCATTCTCAGAGTTTGCACATTTTATTACTTTGGGGTACCAATTACGCTACGATATCATGCCAAAAAGATCATGTCAATTTTTCAATTAAGTTTCTTCTGAGATAACGGAAAAAAAAATAGTTTCTAACACCAGTTTATTGAGACAAACCATTTTAAACATTTTGTTAAGTCCTCACAATATCTGCCAACATTCACCGTATCAGCTTCGAGATGTGGCAACACGTGGTTCACAACTGCATGTGCCACAAGTTACTATGGTGAAGCACTGAGTGCTACGCTTGAAGCCGTCATGGTACACCAAGTAATAGCCAAACATCCTGCTAATGAAAGCTGGTTCTTCACAGCGTTGGTAACATGATGGTGCATCATCTTGTATGAACACAGTGTCCTGCTAAATGCGCCTCTCGTGCAAGCCAGGCAACGTAATGTTAGTAACAGATGTTGATAACGTGCCCCAGTGACCGAAACAGTTCATTAATCATGATCTGTAGGGTCCTTAAAAAATCATAAGGTTCATTGATGGCACTGCTGGTATACCCAACCCACACAGTCACCTTTAGGTCATGCTAGTTGGTATCACTCAAAATAATGCAAATGGGTGTTTACATGGTCGTGGATCAATCCACAAAATTTGTCAGGTACGTAAATATCTGCAATGAATTTCAGGGCAAAGTTCGTCCGCTTCCCTGGGCCAGCAGGAAACGATTTCTGCAGTTTTACCTTGTATATATATATAGATCGTCTTACGCATTACCTTCCACACAGTTTACGAAGTTCTACTGGTAGATCTGTGAACTACATGAGTTCTTTATTCTACTTCGGATTCTCTTCTTCAGTTCCGATGAAACTTGAATTTCTGTAACAACTTTCGCGGGTGTAGGTGGACGGTCAGCTACATGGGCCTCCAGGAACAACTCTGTCGTGATGAAAGGCACGAAAATTCGCTTCGAGTGGTGTGCGACCTTGGAGAAAACCTTGGTTGGCAGATTTCTCTGCAGACAATGGACTCGTCTGATAGCCACGTAAGCTTACGTACAGAGGAAACAATGTCAGATGTGGTGGCGCATAGCATAAATGACAACTCAGGTATCAAAATATTCAAATATAAGAATATAACATGATTTACCACATCTGACATTGGTTCCTCTGTACCCACGCCACATAGCATAAATGACAACTCAGTTATCAAAATATTCAAATATAAGAATATAACATGATTTGTGGGTACAGAGGAACCAATATCAGATGTAGTGGCACATAGCATAAATGACAACTCAGTTATCAAAATATTCAAATATAAGAATATAACATGATCTGTGGACAGCAAGTGATCGTTTGTCCTTTATGGCTCTTCTTGCACACCCACCAATTACTTTTCAGGAAATCTTCGATTCCTCTCTTAAACTCATGGAAAATGTTAGCTGGCCTTCTTTACTAAACTCATGGGAAAATGTTAGCTGGCCTTCTTTACTAAACTTATGGAAAATGTTAGCTAGCCTTCTTTACTTCCAACAGCAACTGTCCCATGTACATGCACACTTAATTCCGCTAGCATACGTGTTATGGTTTGGGAGTTATAAATAACTAAATACATGAAGTAGCATGTGCTTCATACATC